AAAAATACTAAAAGTCAAGCCTCTGATTTTGGTAGTTCATATCTTGTGGACTTTTGATCCGATTTTTAATTGGAATGCTTTGTTAGACGCGTATTGATCCGTAGAGTCAATTGGCATTAAAAAAATATTGCACAGTGGTGCAAGGTCTTTGAGTTCGATAGGAAATCTGATCAGAATCAGAAAGTTGTTTAACAATCCAAGAGACAATAGAATGTGTGGCTGGTAAGCTCCTCATAGAAACTTATTCTCCAACTGCTTTTGGCCAACATCAAATCAATTCTGAAGCACTGTGCCAACGTTCATCATCAGCTTTGATGCAGGCAGCAAAGGAAGAGTAAATTCAGCCCCAAAGAGACGCCAAAATGTGCAACGGTGTGCGGCAGGCGAATGGAGTCAACGTCAACTGGGCCCCCACACAGCACACGACGCCAACGAAGACGTCACGAAGCAGAAGCCGGCAAAAACAGCAGCAGCAACAACAACAACTTCAACAACAACAACAACAACTGCAACTCTCATCACATAGCATCAGTAAGTTTTTTGTTGACTGTTTTGCAGCAGCAGCAGCAGCAGTTAACCCCTTCTCCTTCCTCCTGCCGCTGATCTTATCGGCAATTTGTCATGCAAAAATTTACGGCCGCCGAGTCACGGCCACAGCGAGGGCTGGAGGCGACGCGCGGGCCAGCGTTTGTTTATAATAAAATAAAACAACAAGAAATTGTTGTTCGTGTGGCTGCTGTGCGGCAGATTTTATTGGGCCGCTTCAAAGCGCTCGCACAGGATGTGCTGCGGCTTCTTCTGCTTCGCCGTCTTTGTTGTTGGAGCACAAACCACCCCCGCCAAACATAAGCACACAGACTGCCTCTGCCACTGCCTACGTCTCTCAATCTCTTGGGGCAAGAGCCGCCCGATCAGCACGCACAAAAAAAATATCACACACACACACACGCACACACACTGAGAGAAAATGTGTCGATTAATGCGCTCCAGATGCTGTGCTCATCAGAGACAGAAGCAGAGACAGCGACAGAGCAGAGGGCGGCTGGGACGTGGGAGTGGGGCCGAGCTGACGACGTTGGAGTCGAACTGGAATGTGCCTTTGATTTGTTGGCGTCGCAACATGCCGCAAGTTCCACTTTTTGTTGCTCTGTGCCTATATAGGGGCATGTGGGTGGGAGGGGCGAGCGGGCGCACTGGAAGCGGGTGGCTGACACTGATGAATGTCAGTCGTTTGTCAAAACTCAATGGAAAACTGACTCAACTGCAGCAGACTGGAAGGGGGACTGGGAGTGCACTCCCTCTCGCTCACACAGCAGACAGCAAACGAAATGGAAACTGTGCATAGGAAAACCCTAAATGAATAGAATAGTGCATCCAGTTTCCAGCAGCACTCAACAGCTGCCTCCTTCCCTCCCCCCACCTAGCCTCTCTCCCTTGCTCCCTCGAGGCTGTCTCTGGGTCTGGGTCTCGTGTCAATAAGTGACGCCAGCGGCGCCGCAAGCATCGCCGGACACCTTTGGGGCTTGTCAGTGCTCGTAATTGTGCAACTGCTGAGGTGTTGTGGGCGCTTTGAAGTGAGCGACTGCCACACACACACATGTGTGTGTGTGTGCGTGTGTGTCCTGTGTGTGGCATTCAATATAATTTGTGACTTAGTCACAATGAAATATGGCTGAATGCCCAGTAGCAGCAACTACTTCAGGGTGGGCGCTAAAGATGACGAAATAGAGCTGCCGAAATAGAGCTTTTCTATTACTGTATTCCATGCCTTATAGAGGCAACGATATTACAATTAATTTGGAGTTTCCAAATTATCTTAATCAGCACACCTTGTAGATCAGTTTAATCTCTAACAAATCTGGGCAAACTGCTTTAGCTTTTACCAGATACAGATCACCGAGGATCAACTGCTATTGAGAGCGCAATCTCAAGGGGCACTCGACTCACGTACCTGACGGCTGTTAAAAACCACAAAAATACGAAACACATTATATTCCGGGATTGTAAGTGAAAGAATAAGAAGAGAAACACTCAACAGTTAGCCGAAGCGAACATCCTGATGAACTGCCAGTGAGAATGCTGAGCACTTGAGGCTTCGTTTCATCAAGAGCATCAGCCAAGTGGAAATTGGACCAACAATAGAGCAGAAACCAAAGACGAAAAACAATTTTCTGTGGACAACAGTTGTTGAAACGAAATTGAAAATATTTAAAATACAATAAAATATCCTTTCTCCTCGGCTCCCGCCTCCGCCTCCGGGAGCTGAAAACAAAACAGAAAAGGTATAGAGTCATTAAGATAACAATCTGTTGCTGAAAAACTGAAAAACTAGATGAAAACTGTAATAGAAATTGTCATTAAAAATATGTGCGAGAGGAAAAACAAAACACAGGCAACACACAAATTAAAAGGACAACATGTGTGCATGGGATGGCAGCGCGAGAAGGACATGAGGGCCAGCCAGGACAACAGTTGTGCTGATGTGTTTATGTTTGGAGGAATTTTTAGTAAGCCCAGCAGCGAGAGAAAAAAAACTGGTTTTCAAAGCTGAAAAACTGAACGGAAATTACTTTTTGAAATAAATGAAAAAATATATGCTGAAACTAAAAAATAAAGCAAATATTTTTTTAATATGATAATATTTTTATTTATATATTTTTGTTCTCGACTGACCTGTAAAAACCGCAACAAAAGCCATTAAATGCTTGGCCCGTAACGAACCGAAAATTTGCCGATTGAGTGGCAAGTGGCAAGTGGCAGCCAGCAGCCAGCAGCCAGCAGCCAGCAGGTAGCAGGTGGCAGCAATAGGTGGCAGTGGCTCGGCAGCCTGCAGTGATTTGCGTGAACTATGCCTCGTTCTGCCAACTGTATGATTGAGTGGTTGACGAAGTCGCCCTGCGGGCCCAATGCTTAGAATAATTTAACAGTTAGTCCAGTTAGGCTACGGTTAATATTACGCTGCAATTAGTCGCGCGTCGTTGTGTAAAACTACACTGAGAGAAAATGGCGTAGTTAGGGTCAGGGAAACAATTGAAAAAAAAAAATATATATATATATATATATTATAAGATAATTTTTTAATTTTTAAGTTAAAAATGAAATGTTAGTTTATTTAATAATTTACTTTTATCAAATAATAAAACTATCTTATTAAAGTATACAAATGAGGCTTAATTGGTATATATTATTTTTTCAACTCGAGTATTTTAAAAAAATTATTTTTAATTTTATTGCTCTCAAATTTTCATGTTTACTAAATTTATAGTATATTTATATTTTTATACTCATTCACGAAGTGAATTAGTATATTGGTTTTGTGCAATGTCCGTC